CATTTTAAAAAGTTCACAATATAATTTTTCATGGCAATTATGTTCAGGTGGAGGAATTTAAAATTATATTAGTTCAGTGATTTTTTTTTTCCAACATCTTGCACTGATACTGTAGGAAAACTTCATTCAGAAACTTCATAAAAGAGTGAAATAAAATTATAAAAAGGGGCAGGGATATGTAGCAAAATGGAAAAGTAAGTAAGGGTGTTCCATGAGTCAGTCATTGCTATCAGGTCACTTTGAAGCAAAGCATGAAACCTGAAACTGCTCTACATGTAGCTTCTTAGGGACAGACTTATTTTGCACATACCCTCGTGTGTACCTGGAAATGAATGAGGGACATGCACACTTTCTTATTCGTACTTCAAACTGAGGGTCGGCTTACGGTTTCAGAGCACTGTGGTACATGTGCAGTCGGGGCTTTTGCTGTGTGGACTGTCCCCTAGCAGACCTGAGAAGATAATGAAAATTACACCACTCAACCTTTAGTGGACAGGCAAAGAATGAATACCTTAGCAGCCAGTTCAAGGTTGTACAAAGGTTCATAAACGTGTAAACAGGCACTCTGTTAATGTGAAATTAGCCACTGCTGAAAAAGAGCATGCATGTTCAGCAAAGTCATTTTTGGGATTAAAAAATGCTCTAAAATGACTTGGCATAGAATTTATTGCATCAAACTCAGTCATAACAGATATTTCTTTTTCATTTCTAGGAGAGACCTGGCAAATTCATCTTTACAAGTGGCCACAGAAATACAGTGACATACAGCACATCCTGTACAGATCCTCTAAAGGCCATATCATTTCTGGCTACTGCTGCTGGCTCAAAATGCTATTTACTCTAGGAATTCTCCTCCTTCTCACCCCATTTCCCTCCTTTCAAACCATGACCAATGAGAAGAGATACTCCACAGGAAGTGACCAGGCCAAGTCCAGGGCGGTTTTTACCCTTTCAAAACCAAAAACCACTGCTGCTTTCGCCAAACAGACCGTTCAACCTACCTTAAAGCCAAACACAGTCAATCAGACAGTTTTACCCACTCCAGCCACCAACCAAAAGCATCCAACAGTCAATGCTACAACAGCCACCAAAGGGAAGCCTACTCCAGCAGCAATTCAAAACACTCCAGTAGCAGCAACAATTGCTACAGACACCATCACCAACAAAGACAAACACACAGTCTCAGTCAATCAGACTGTTGTAGCAAAATCTCCTTCCAGTGACGTGAAGGCTAGCAAAGACAAAGCTGCCCCCACTGCATCTCCAGATGTTCAGTCAACATCTACAAAATTTGCTTCAGCCAGCACCGCTAAAGCCATCAATGACAAACCTTCAGTCAATCATACTGTTTCAATTAAATCTCACTCAAGAGACAAGCCTATCCCCACTGGAGTTCAAAATATTCAGTCGGCATCCCCAAACTCTGCTCCTGCTGGTGTCACTAAGGCCACCAAAAACAAGCCCGCAGCCTCCATTAATCAGACGGATATAGCCAAGTCTCCCTCCACGAGTGATGTGAAAAATTCCAAAGACAAGGCTGCCCCCAGTGAAGTTCACACTGTTCTGTCAACACCAGCAAAGGTCATTACAACCAATGGTTCTGCAGCCAACAAAGACAAGCTCACATCCTCTGCCAGTCAAACCACTGTGACCAAGGCTCCCACCACCACAAAAGACAAGCCTGCCCTTTCACAACCTATTAAGGTGGTGATCAGGGATGGCTGTGACTCAAGTAATAGCAAGGAGCAGGAGCTGAAACCGGGTGCTCCTCTGGTGATGACACATAAAATCAGCTTGTTGCCTGGTGGATGCACTGGGGGATGTGAGGCTGAGATGGCCGAACTGATAGGTCGAGTGGACCAGCTGGAGAGAGAGATGTCCCTCCTAAAAGAAAAATGTATGATTCTGTCATTTTCATCAGATTATGTATGAATGTATGCATGATTGTAACACTTTTATGTATTTATTTGTTTATGTGTCTCTTATTGTTGCACAGGTCCATGTTCTGCAAATTGTCCAAATGACTGTAGCGGCAATGGGGAATGTAAGAAGGGGAAATGCATCTGCCATCAGGGATTCACAGGTCCAGACTGCAGTAAGTGTGGCCAAGGAGCTGAGTGTAATAAAAGTAAGAGTCTGCTCTTGTGGTAGCATTAGAAAGTCTTATTTTAAGTGAGATAAAGTTGTTATTTTATTCATCCTTTGACTAAAATCTCATTAATACTCTCTGCAATTACAGAACCTGTCAAAGCCAAGGTCAGGCACACAGTGGAGACAGTAGCCCTGCAAGGGAACAAAGACAAGGAAAATAAGCAGGAGAAAACCATCAAAATAGAGCATGCACTCAAGAAGGGGACTGAAGTCACCATAGCAAAAGTAGCCACTAATGCTAAACCAGACATTGTGAAAACACAAGCAAAACAAGAATCTTCTGTTGACAAAAGAACTGTGAAAGGTTCCTCAAGTGCCAAAAAGACCAGTCAACCAACTGTTAGTCAGGTTCTCCTGAAACATGAGGGAAGAAAGCAAGAAGAGGCCCGCAAAGGCATGACAACAGTCCTGGCCTCTAAAAAGGTTCCCCAAAAAACAGACCTTTATGTTAAGGAAGGAACTGCCAGTAAACCGAATCCTAAAACTGACCAACTGAAAGATGAACCTCAACCCAATGTAACCCAGAGTAATGTGAAGAAACCTAAAATTGTGACCATTCTCTCCAAAAACTTGGGAAGAAATGCCACCAGAACAGGGAAGGAGACCCTGGATCAGTCCACACTGGCTGCGAAGAATGTTACTCAGTCATCTGGACATAAACATATTACTAAGAATGGGCAGTCTGTTGACAACACAAGCACTGAACCTAGCAAGAATGGAAAATGGAAAACTACCCAGAGGAGTCAGTATATAGTGAATGCAACCATCACAGCAACATCACACAAAGCTCCATTACTGCAGAACAAAACAGCCATCCATGGCTCTGGGGTGAGCAGGGGGATTGGAGGTTCTGGACTAGGCTCTGTAAAGGTTGTGAACATCTCCTCTTACAGCTTCACTGTCACATGGTCAGCACCGCAAGGCATGTTCAAGAACTTCACTGTGATCAGAAGAGAGCCAGGGACAGAGGGTGATGAAGATGACCCCGAGGAGGATGAAGAACAAGCTCCTGAAGGAGGCAAGACCCCTGTGGCCAAGAAACCAAATAAGGTCCAGGTACAGACCGAGAGCACTGACACAACTGTCACCTCTGGTAAAACTGCGGAATCAAGAGGTAAAGCTGAAACCAAGAGGATCTCTATCGTGGTGCCCGGCAGTGTACGTTCTGTGGAGTTCAGTAACCTTCGGGCAAACACACGCTATGTCCTGCATATATATGGCACCAGTGCTGAGAGACGATCAAAGATTCACAGAGTAACTACAATCACAGGTAATTAAAGTTCCTCCACTACCAGGGACACAATCAGTATCTGGATCAATACAGTATATATTTCATATTTCTGACCTAAAATGTGAGAATAAAATCCACCTGTTTTCTCTCACTAGGTCCTGAGCCAGCCACAGAGATGGTTTTCAGCAATGTAACAGAGTCTTCTCTCACTGTGTCCTGGTCCAAACCAAAGACGATATTTACAGGTTTCAGGATCACATACACCAACATTGTCACAGGTCTGTCAAAGGCTGCCTGTATACTGAATCTCATGTCATAGTTGCCTTGCTTAATATGAGCCAGTGTGGATCTTTAATTGGGATTGTTAAGAGTGTTTGAGTTATGTGTCTATGATGTATCATCATTCTAGGGGAGAGTCACTCTGTAACTGTGAACCCTCAGCAGTCTTATGTGGTTCTATCCAAGTTGTCTGCTGGATCCTCCTACGTTATTTCTGTAACTACCACACACGGCAGAGCCCAGAGTGGTGCCCTCAAGTCCGTTATCACCACAGGTAGCAAGTTAGATGAGTTTACTATGATGCACAGCTACTTTTTGGATGTCTTGTGAAAACAGCCATAAACATGCTCTGGACTGTCTCTTCACTGCAGTACCTGCCCCTCCAACACATCTTCAAGCTGTCAACGTGACAGATACCAGAGCTGTGCTGCAATGGACACCTGGTCTGGGGAGAGTAGACCGCTTCATCATCAGCTATGAGTCCTCCAAGAGTGAGTGTGTTGACATTAGCCTATAAAGACTAATGACAAGTTCTAATTAGCTTAATGTTATTAATTCTCCTTCTTGCTACAGCCCCTAATGTGACAGTGACAATGATGCTGGCTGGGGATTCAGTGGAACAGCAGCTGAGAGGCCTGCAGAGAGGCACTGTGTACACAGTCAAAGCCCTAAGCCAGAAAGGCAGTCTCCAGAGTAGGGGCATTTCAACTACATTTACTACTGCTAATGGTGAGTAGGGGGGGTGGGATTTGACTTGTTAAGTCATGTGCTAAGATGCATCAACTAAATAGGTTTTCTTTTTCATTTTTGTGTCTCTCAGTGGTTAAAGCCAGTGAGGTGGGTGCTCGATCTGCAGTGATAACATGGAGAACTGCTACAGTTGTTTATCACAGCTATAAAGTAATCTATCAGGTGGCAGGAGAGGAGGCAAAGGTAAACAACTGGTTCATTATTGGCACATACAATACAAAACAGAGCCATAACATCAACTTTTTTTTTCTCCATATACATTAGGAGGTGATCCTGGACCCAAGTGCCACAGAGTATAAACTGACAGGGCTGTTACCCATGTCACGCTATACAGTTCTGGTACAAGGCGAGAGAGATGGACGCTACACATCTGTTTTCACCACAGAAGTCATCACAGGTAACAAATGCACCCCTGCCAATCTATTTGCCTCATCAATACTTATTGGTTTATCATAATTGCAACTAATCAATTTTTAGTCAGGAGAGGTGGACATTTACCCACAAGGAAAAGAGGGACAGTCGGTCAGAGTCTACTGTGACATGGAGACTGACGGAGGCGGCTGGACGGTGAGGCATGCTGCTGTTAAATTTTGCACCAAAAAAAAAAGCAAGATAAAAATCTGGTGTGTCTTTTCTTAGGTGTTCCAGAGGAGGATGAGTGGAAAGACAGATTTCTACAGAACCTGGAATGAATACAGTGTAGGATTTGGAAACCTGAGTGAAGAGTTCTGGCTCGGTACAGTTAAAGCAATCTTTTATTATCTCATCTGCATCGAAATATTATTCAGTAAATCCACCTAATCTTATCTCCGTCTTCATCTTCACCCTATCTACGTACACCAGGAAACAAACTTCTTCACAACCTGACCAGTACTGGTCCTGTGAGTCTGAGAGTGGATATGCAATCTGGAAATGACACAGCTTATGCTCACTATGCCAACTTCTCCATCGATTCAGAGGAGAGGCACTATACTCTTACGGTGTCCGGCTTCACTGGAACTGCAGGTGAAAACTGTACAAAGTACATTTTCCCTGAACATGTGCAATTATTATTGTTGTTGTTGTTATACAGTGAACGCCTGACAATTCATACACCAGTATCACTGTACTGCTCTGTCAGGTGACTCTATGAGATACCATAATGGCCGTCCATTCTCAACCCATGACAAAGACCCCGATCCTCTGGGGATCCACTGTGCAAGGGCCTACATGGGAGGCTGGTGGTACAAAAACTGCTACAAGACCAACCTCAATGGCCTTTATGGCATCAACAGTAATAACCAGGTATGATTAACCTCTAATACATTTTAAATAGTTTTATCTTTTGTTATATAGTGCATTAACTAAATGTCATCACTTCTGTGTTTGTTCTAATACAGGGAATAGTCTGGATAGACTGGAAAGGTAAAGACTCTTCCATTCCCTTCACTGAGATGAAGTTCAGACCGTCCAGGTTCTCCCCTGCAACTCACGGCTAAAGATGCAGCAATTTTTAGGGCCTCTGCAGCTTGACAGCCTTACATCTGACAGTCTAGGAGAGCTTCAGAAATCCACCTCACAGTCGCTGCATGTCACGTTTCAGCAGACATTGCATTACAGTGATTTTTGTCCCTATGATCACAGCTATAATTACATTAGATTTTTCTTTCTGAGCTGTTTTTTAAGAAAATATACTAAAACAGTGCAGAGCTGTTTTTATTGCAAGTTTTTGTATGTTGTTCTACTACCAGTTTGTGCCAACACAGTTTTATTTGACTTCTTCTTGATCCCCACAATAGTACACCACCCCACTACTACTGTAAATACATTTGCACTGTTTTCACTCAGTTGGATTAAATGTGACTAATGTGGCTCTGAAGTGTCATGTCTTCTTTTTCCTTCCCTGCACTTTTTTCTACAAGATAAACAAATGCCAGAATGACTGATGTGATGTGTTATAATGCCCTTCAGCAAGTGTCAGCCATGTTTATCATGTTGTCCCTTACATATAGTATGTTGCATTCACCACATCATCAGATAGCCTGTGTGCTGGAAATCTTGTTCATTTACTTCCCCCTAGTAGTTGGTTTGGCGATAGGTTTTGTTTTTCTTCCCCTCGGTAAAACGACGGACAGCCTACAGTGTGTTACTGATGTTTACCACGTTTACGCCTTGGAGTAGCTATGTCCCTAAGTGAAAACATGGAATTATTGTTGTATTAGTGTTTTCACTAGAAAATTATTAGTCTTTCACACATTGGTAACTTGTTGATGTGAAATGATTGGCAACATGTCTTGCTTGTTTGCTAGCTCTACTATGTGTGTAAAATGTGTTATGCTAGCGGTTTATTTTGCTTTAGTGCTCATACTTTCTTGTTTATTATCCTTGTAAGTAGGAGCCATGTTATTTAAAGTTGCACAAGTGTAATGTGTGACGTACATAGTGCATTAGTGTGTAAATACTAATTGCACATGCATAGTAAGGTGCTGATATGTATTTTTGTATTCATTTCAGTTTTACAGAAACGACCAGTAAAGCCACACGTTTTTCAAGAACACGGTTTGTTGGAGTTTTTGTTCGCTATCTGTCTTACTCTAGATAAGGGACGCCACTGTGAGGACAGAATAGTAAAAGGACAGTTACACAGCGGGCTAAGACAAGGAATTCTACTGTCAACAACGCACTGTAAACAAAGATAAAACACACAAAATGGAGCAACAAAGTGTAACGGAACGGACATGCAAAGATTTTGAGATCAGGTCACAAGTCTCTGGCTCCAAGTCCACAGGAAGATCAAGTAGGTCCTCGGCCAGTGCAGCAGCCACAAAAGCAAAGGCTAAAGCAGAGGTAGCGCTAGTACAGGCTAAATATGCAGCAAAAGAGGCAGCTATGATGAAAGAAAAAGCCCAAATTGAGGCAGAAGCAGCACGGCATAAAGCAGAGTTGGAGGCCAATCTGTATATGTTACAAATAGAGAGGAGTGCCACAGCGGCCTCAGCAGAAACAGCAGTCTATGGAGCTGCAGCAGCAATGGAGTCAGACCCTCTCGAAGACATCACCCAGATGGCTCCTGAAGTCCGTGCTCAACGCACCAGTGAGTATGTGCTGGCCCACTATGTGTTACCACACGCTCAGCACCAAGCTCCGGTCTCACAACAGCCACCTGTCACATTTACCTGCAGAAAGACCTCAGTCAGGCTCAGTTCTCCCATATCCACTTCCCAATGAGGAGACTCACCTGCCCAAGCCCAGCATTAGAGATGACATAGTGCCTGATGCTTATGAGAAAGACTATCCAAGCTACATCTCTCCCCCAATTCCTCATACATTCAGTCTCAGAGATCACACATGTGAAGCAAAACAGATGACTGATTGTTGTGAGAGTTAGTTGTGTGTCCACTGGGGGTTACCGTAGAAAACGGGGAAGTTATGCTTAAGAGGATGTTCATGTACATGTGGTGAGTTGGACGTGCTCATTGAATAAAACTGAGTGTTACCTTAAGAAAGATGAGCGACTTCTTGCTGTAACATGACACTGATCTCACAAAATATCTTATTAGACGAGAGATGGTGAGTTCAGGACTGCTAAAATTTGATGACCATCCAGAAAACTACTGGGTTTGGAAAACGTCATTCCAAGGTGTTACAAAAGAACTCAACTTGACAGCCCAAGAAGAGCTTGATCTACTCATTAAGTGGCTCGGTCCAGACTCATCCCCACAAGCCATGCGGATCAGATCAGCTCATGTACGCAATCCACCAGCTGGTGTTGCTATGGTTTGGCTAGAGGAAACTTATGGCTCTCCAGAGATAATTGAAAATGCCCTGCTGCAGAAATTAGAGAAATTTCCAAAAATCTCTAACAAAGACAGCCAGCGTCTCAGAGAACTCGGAGACGTGCTAATGGAGATACTGTCGGCAAAATCAGGAGGACACTTGCCAGGATTAACCTATCTCGACACAGCGAGGGGAGTCAATTCCATAGTCGAAAAACTTCCATACAGGTCTACAGGAGCGTTGAATAACACATGGCTCGAAGTACAAGGAGGAACATAATGTTTCCTTTCCTCCATTCAGTTTCTTTGTAAGCTTTGTATGCAGCCAAGCAAAGACCAGAAACAATCCAAGTTTTTTGTTTTCCCTATCCAACAGTATGAGCCATGTAAGGCCAGAGAAACTTGTAAGACACAACGACAGTTACAAAGTGTCAGTAAGGAAGACGGAAGTGGCAGCCAGACTTCTAGGTCCCAACAATAGTGGTTCGGGTAAGCCAGCAGAAGAACCAGTTGATCGGTGTCCTATACACAACAAGCCACACCCTCTAGTGAAATGTCGTGGATTTAGGAGTAAACACTTGGATGCGAGAAAGGCCTACCTAAAGGACATGTCTAGCTGTTTTAGATGCTGTGCATCTACTATAAAACTTTCCCCTTTAATTCAAATATACAGTATTATTGCTATAAAAACACCAATCAACCTAAACCGCATGTCTTAGAACTGTGGGAGGAAGCCAGAGTGCCCGGAGTGAACCCACGCAAGCACGGGGAGAAAGAGCATGCAAACTCCACACAGAATGTGAGGCAGCAGCGCTGACCACCACACTGCCCTATCTTTTTTTTCTTTTTTAGTGAAAATGCTGGTGACTCAGCCCTATCCTCATATCATTTGTGTGTTGCTATGGAGAAAAGTACGGTGTATGTCCGTATATATATTTTCTGTGTATTTCTCCCTACTTACCGCTCATGTCCATGCCAACCCACTTAAACACACAAAATAGCTTATTCTCACACTTATATTTCAACAAGAGGGGCAGCTTATCTACCCAACTCCAATGCCCATAAATTAACTCACTCACACACGCTCACAGCTCTAGTTCAATGAAAAGAGGGAAAAATCTTCTACACAGCACCAAAAGCACACAGTTAACTTGTCCACACACACTCAGACAATTTCCAACACAGTATAATAGGAGCTCCCCTTAACACACAGTCAAAACACTTAAGATAACCCACACATAGACAAATATTAACACAAAAATGGGTCATTCCTCTAATTTTAATGCCAATTAATGCCAATTTCTAATAATTCATCTTTTTAGAATTATTCATGCCTACTGGGCACTCTCTGTAAATAGGTTTCTAATTTTGCTCATGCCTAAGTGGGCACTCTATGCAAATCAATTTCTAGACTTACTCATACCTTGGGCACTCTTGAAATTAATTTAGGTTTTACCCTGTAAAGAAATTACTCATGTCAATTGGACACTCTTGTAAATTTCTGCATGTGTTAATTTTACTTGCTCATGCCTGATGGGCACTCTTGCAAACCTGATCAGGATTTAATTTTGATCTGTTAATGTCTTTGTAAATAAAATATTAGTTCAATAATTTTAACAGAGTGTTTGTCCTGAAACTTCCTTACCTCTCTCTCACCCACTTAATTTAGATTTTTCAATATGCAGAACTTTGGATAGAATCAACAGGCGTCTGCTTACCTTTTGTTTTTAGTAGACCACGGTCTGTGGGTGACAGGAGGCTGGGAGTGCAGGTTGGCCCCGCTGGAAATCTCCAGTCTTGAGCCGATGCTGATCCAATTCGTTCCTCTCCTCTCTTCAATAGATCATGTCGGGGTCACCAAATTTGTGAGGTGTGTTCTTTTTATATTGAAAAGAGAAGACTAATAAGAGGATATATATATCACAGTGTGAAATTTATTATGCATTAACTTATCAAAATTAGCATGTGCACATGGATCTTCACTGTTTAGGATAAACAGAAAAGACTGTCCTCAACTTGTCGGTATACAATATTTGTATGAAAAGGTGCTACTATCTGATTGGTCCAAAACTGTTGGGGAGAAGCTGTGGTTTAGACCTAACTGTCCCGCCATTGGTCCCTCAGTCCTCGTCCTTGGTGTGACCTTGTCCTGAAACAGACACTTTGCACAACCCACAATGCTTCTTGTTATCTCGGCAACCCTGAGACTGCACCTAGACTTGTTTTCTTCTAGGCCAACATCTAACCATAACCTTGGTGTAAATCTTAGTATCTTATCAAACCCCAACTCCCCTGGCTTCAAGGCTCAGAGGGAATAATGAGCTCTTTTAGAAAAGGCAATAAATCTAATGAAAGCCAGTGGGATGATTAGACCTTGGAAAACCACTCAGTGCACCAGACTTTTTAATCATAAGAGCCTGCAATATCACACAAGTTTTCAGTGTCTCCTACAGAAACTTATTTTCTCTTTATTTTAGTGAACATATAATTGGGTGAAAAGTAATTACATAAACATATCTGTGACAGGTAAGTATGTATACTGATGTGTGCTATAAACTACTGAGTGCTCTCAGGAGCTGCTGAATGGAGCTCTGCAGTCAGGAGAGGTGGACATTTACCCACAAGGAAAAGAGGGACAGTCGGTCAGAGTCTACTGTGACATGGAGACTGACGGAGGCGGCTGGACGGTGAGGCATGCTGCTGTTAAATTTTGCACCAAAAAAAAAAGCAAGATAAAAATCTGGTGTGTCTTTTCTTAGGTGTTCCAGAGGAGGATGAGTGGAAAGACAGATTTCTACAGAACCTGGAATGAATACAGTGTAGGATTTGGAAACCTGAGTGAAGAGTTCTGGCTCGGTACAGTTAAAGCAATCTTTTATTATCTCATCTGCATCGAAATATTATTCAGTAAATCCACCTAATCTTATCTCCGTCTTCATCTTCACCCTATCTACGTACACCAGGAAACAAACTTCTTCACAACCTGACCAGTACTGGTCCTGTGAGTCTGAGAGTGGATATGCAATCTGGAAATGACACAGCTTATGCTCACTATGCCAACTTCTCCATCGATTCAGAGGAGAGGCACTATACTCTTACGGTGTCCGGCTTCACTGGAACTGCAGGTGAAAACTGTACAAAGTACATTTTCCCTGAACATGTGCAATTATTATTGTTGTTGTTGTTATACAGTGAACGCCTGACAATTCATACACCAGTATCACTGTACTGCTCTGTCAGGTGACTCTATGAGATACCATAATGGCCGTCCATTCTCAACCCATGACAAAGACCCCGATCCTCTGGGGATCCACTGTGCAAGGGCCTACATGGGAGGCTGGTGGTACAAAAACTGCTACAAGACCAACCTCAATGGCCTTTATGGCATCAACAGTAATAACCAGGTATGATTAACCTCTAATACATTTTAAATAGTTTTATCTTTTGTTATATAGTGCATTAACTAAATGTCATCACTTCTGTGTTTGTTCTAATACAGGGAATAGTCTGGATAGACTGGAAAGGTAAAGACTCTTCCATTCCCTTCACTGAGATGAAGTTCAGACCGTCCAGGTTCTCCCCTGCAACTCACGGCTAAAGATGCAGCAATTTTTAGGGCCTCTGCAGCTTGACAGCCTTACATCTGACAGTCTAGGAGAGCTTCAGAAATCCACCTCACAGTCGCTGCATGTCACGTTTCAGCAGACATTGCATTACAGTGATTTTTGTCCCTATGATCACAGCTATAATTACATTAGATTTTTCTTTCTGAGCTGTTTTTTAAGAAAATATACTAAAACAGTGCAGAGCTGTTTTTATTGCAAGTTTTTGTATGTTGTTCTACTACCAGTTTGTGCCAACACAGTTTTATTTGACTTCTTCTTGATCCCCACAATAGTACACCACCCCACTACTACTGTAAATACATTTGCACTGTTTTCACTCAGTTGGATTAAATGTGACTAATGTGGCTCTGAAGTGTCATGTCTTCTTTTTCCTTCCCTGCACTTTTTTCTACAAGATAAACAAATGCCAGAATGACTGATGTGATGTGTTATAATGCCCTTCAGCAAGTGTCAGCCATGTTTATCATGTTGTCCCTTACATATAGTATGTTGCATTCACCACATCATCAGATAGCCTGTGTGCTGGAAATCTTGTTCATTTACTTCCCCCTAGTAGTTGGTTTGGCGATAGGTTTTGTTTTTCTTCCCCTCGGTAAAACGACGGACAGCCTACAGTGTGTTACTGATGTTTACCACGTTTACGCCTTGGAGTAGCTATGTCCCTAAGTGAAAACATGGAATTATTGTTGTATTAGTGTTTTCACTAGAAAATTATTAGTCTTTCACACATTGGTAACTTGTTGATGTGAAATGATTGGCAACATGTCTTGCTTGTTTGCTAGCTCTACTATGTGTATAAAATGTGTTATGCTAGCGGTTTATTTTGCTTTAGCGCTCATACTTTCTTGTTTATTATCCTTGTAAGTAGGAGCCAGGTTATTTAAAGTTGCACAAGTGTAATGTGTAACATACATAGTGCATTAGTGTGTAATACTTCCTGCACATGCATAGTAAGTTGCTGATATGCTCTTGGTCTTATACTTGTATAGCGCCTTTCTATGCTTTTACAGTACACTCAAAGCGCTTTCACCTTATTCGGCCATCCACCCATTCGCACTCCCAAGCACTCACGCATTCACACACCGGTGACATCACCGGGAGCAACTGGGGGTTCAGTGTTTTGCTCAAGGACACCTCGACATGTTGACTGGACAAGCCAGGAATCGAACCACTAATCCTCCGGTTAGGAAACGACCCGCTCTACCTCCTGAGCCACAGCTTGTGTGATATGTATTTTGTATTCATTTCAGTTTTACAGAAACGACCAGTAAAGCCACACGTTTTTCAAGAACACGGTTTGTTGGAGTTTTTGTTCGTTATCTGACTAACTCTGGATAACAGACAGGATAGCCTGACCTAAAAAATATTTAGATGCCCTTGATCTTGGTAAAAACACCAACATCATATTGGACCAATGACTGATCAGACAGCTATAAAGAGGACAAGCAGGGAAATGATGAGCTTCTGAAATGGGACACTAAGAAGAAGACAAGATGGCAATAGAAATATCAGTGGTCACTGTGGGAGCTGTCATTCTAGTTGTGCTGCTTTTGCTGGTACTGAGTTGCATTTCTGATCACAGAGACACACATGGACAGGGAGGTCACAAGCAAAGTAAGTCTGCAGGTACGTACGTATGTCTTTGTATGTACGTATATTTGACCGTGCTAGCTGTACAGTTAGTTATTTATTGTATGATTTATGAAGTTATTCCACCCACAGACAACTAGAACACGGGTCACACTGGTGATTAATCTAAGAGATTTATATAATAATCACAATATTCTTTGTGTCTTACCTTACCAGTCTTTTCTAATTCATTCTAGGAATTCAATCTGCACTCCTGCACTGTCTCTCTCGGTTTCTTCCCCGCTCAACTTCTCCTTCCCTCCCGGGTCCTCCCAGCTTCTTCCTCATAGGCAACATGATGGAGCTGACACATGATCATCTGCCAATTCACCTGACCAATCTGGCACAACGCTATGGAGCCATTTACAGGCTTAAATGTGGAAACACAAGTAAACATTAAGATTTATTGATTTTTACTCAGTTTTACTATATGATGCTATGCTCACATATAACAGGCAAATCAACACGGAGGAAAGTGTTATTATTGTGGACAGTGCAATTCAGATGAGCACCACAACAAAAACCTGTTGTGCTCTTTTTTTTCCCAGCTATGGTTATACTGAATAGCAGTGAAGTCATAAGAGAAGCACTGGTAAAGAAATGGTCTGACTTTGCTGGAAGACCACTTTCATACACAGGTAAAAAAAATATCATTGACAGTATTAATTATTAATGTCATTAATAAAATAAAAATTAAGATATGCCCTTATAACCTCTACTGACCGACTTGTATCAGCTGATATTGTGTCAGGAGGGGGGTGCTCCATCTCTCTGGGAGACTATAACAAGGAGTGGAGAGCACAACGACGTGCGGTCCACAGCGCTTTGCAGCGTTGCTGCCGACAGTCCTTGCACAACTTGATTGAGAGACAGGCGCTGCATCTGCGAAAGGTACAGAAAATTAGAGGACCAGATTGTACACTAGCAGATACAGTGTCTTATCTAAAAACTATAAGAGCAAGTACTGTAATGTGATAGCAGAGATTTAGCAAGAACGAAAAGATAACACATGGCTTGTTCACTGTTTAGGTTCTGATTGGCTATCAGGGCAGTGCTGTAGACCTTGCAGAGGATTTCACAGTGGCAACCAGTAATGTCATCACCACTTTGGCCTTGGGAAAAGAAGTGAGTAACTTTCCTGCCACAGCTCAGTTTGTACCACTGAGTAAATAACAAGAATATCAGAGATGGATAATAAAGTGTGCTTTTCATGACCGGGCAAGGCTGCTATGTATGTTGCCCTCTTTGACGGCTTGTGCTACATACAAAATGGATATGTGTAATATGCTTTTCAATTACTGGACACAGTGTTTCATCTGTAGGATGTATTAAAACATGCAGCTCTGTGTTCTCTAGTACAACAAGAGTTCTTCAGAGCTGCAGCAGTTGCACAGCTGTTTGAATGAGATTGTTGCTCTGTGGGGCTCATCTTGGTTTAAGTGTAGTGCACAAGATAAACTAACAATAAATTAATAAACATCTTTTGAATGTGATTTCACAATTCTATCATCTGTTCTCTCAAAGAAATTGCCCAATCCTGTGTTTTCCCGTCTCTTGAAAGAGGTGGCCAAGAGAGATGAGATGATCAAAAACCATCTCAGTCGTTACAAGGTTCGTAAAAAAAAGTGCCAAAGATTTAAAGTTTGGAAAATGTGTTACTGTTAATTTTCTTTTAGGATATATTCAGAATAGCTGCTGAATCCCTGCTCTGTTATGGTCATTTTTTAAAATAATATATCACTTTGTTATCTGTGCAGTCACAAGCCAAAGAAAACAAGGACACCATCACAGGATCCCTTTTACAGGGCCTTGACAAACAGCACAACACAGAGCATGGGGTGGTGCGTACGAATAACAATGAACAACAGGGGAGATAAAAGTGGAAGCAGAGTATGAATTGGATCTGGATGTGTTTCACATATTTTCCCCGATTTAACAGAATCAAACCTTAATCTAACTTCAATTAATGCTGAATCGGGAATTTTAAATTAGTACTATGCACTAAACGACATGTCCTTGTGCGCTTGTCTCTAGCTCCTTACAGAGACTCATGTTCACATGGCCACTGTGGACCTGCTCATCGGAGCAACCGAGACCACCGCAGCCTGGCTGAGCTGGACTGTGGCCTTCCTTTTGCACAGACCAGAGGCACTTTTACAAAACTATCTTGAACAACAGACAACATATGCACACCCTGGCCTTCATCTGATTATTCCTCTCATCTCTTTAGGTGCAGACCAGAGTGTATGAGGAACTGTGCACCGTACTAGAGGGACGATACCCCAAGTACAGTGACAAACACAGGCTTCCTTTCCTGTGCTCTTTGATTAGCGAGATGCTCAGACTCAGACCAGTCGCCCCACTAGCAGTGCCACACAGAGCCATCAGAAACAGCAGGTCATCTGAGATTTTTAATCTGTATCTGGCTCCAGATCTATAACAAAAGCACTATATAATGACTCAAGCATGTTGCTATATGATATATGGCATACACAAAGACCACTGGTATGGATGTACACTACATTTGTCTTGCTCTGCTTTGGATATTTAGAGGTTAAATGTATAATCCCCATGCATGTTTAGTGTTGCAGGTTACTTCATTCCGAAGGATACTGTTATCATTCCTAATCTCTTTGGAGCTCACCATGACCCTGCAGTTTGGAGTGACCCATACAGTTTCAGACCAGGTACTGCTCTAACTCCTGGGTTAAGTGCATTCCTTTTTCTTGGTTTAGCAGATCTCAAATAAAGACATTACTCTGCAACTCTCTTTCTTTCAGAGCGCTTTCTGGAAGGAGGAGGAGGTTCGACCCATGCCCTGATCCCTTTCGGAGGGGGGGCTCGGCTCTGTCTGGGAGAGTCTGTAGCTAAAATGGAGCTATTTTTGTTTACTGCATACTTGCTGAGAGATTTCCAGTTCATTCCTCCTGAGAGTGAGGCCTCTCTGCCTGACCTGAGAGGAGTTGCTAGTGTCGTGCTCAAGGTCAAGCCCTACACAGTTATAGCGAGTCCAAGACCAATGACTAATCCCTGAACTACACAGGATTCACTGCTTACACAATCTGCATGCACATGAATGATTTTTAAAAACTTTTACATGTAAACATAATTACAGAACCTTCAAGTGTATGTTTATCATCAAGACTTCTTTCTTTTTCTTTGTATTAGAAGAGTCTGTTAACAGGTCATAACACTGACTTTATACCAGCTGCTTATTTGGTCATTGCCAAATAACGTCTAAACCCAGGTATTTATCAAAAATCTGTGGTGAGGCAAAGCAAACTCTATTGTTAGCACAGAAGCCCAGGACAAAAACCCTGAAACTTGGGGGCTGTCAGAAGGGAAGCATAAAAAAGAAAAGGAACACTGTTCATGAGGAATCAAAACCTGATCTTTGTACTGCAAACTGGAACTGGTCAACTATTAGTAATACTGCAGCAATAACAATATCTGTCATAGAGGCTGTCAGAAATAAGTGCTTGCACTTGTTGGTGAAAATGAAATGACTTCCCTTCTGTATAAAATGTTCAGTAGACCTGCAGCTTATCACTGCTGATCACTGGGTTAGAGGTGCAGCTTGTACAAGTGTTTGCATTTTAATCATTATTAGTAATGTCATGATAGATAGCAGCAATAAAAGGGGTTCACTAGGAGCTATATTACATGCACATGTGACAACCTGGTGAAAATATGTAATAAAAATACACAGTACACAGAACACCCGATGCATTAATCTGTATAGTGGCCACAGTTTGTACAGAATTGTAAGGTTAATAAATGAGCACTGGTTCATCTCGAGGGGCTGGTCTTAAAATCAGAATGAGTCGCCACAATACCATTTCCTGAAAATTTGTTTTTTGGAGACTTAAGCTATCAGAGTATTTTGCAATAAGAAAAATAATCTGCAAGAAGATGTCCTCTGAGAGATGATTTTGTTGTTTTGTTTTGCTATTCACTGCTTGGACTTCGTCTTCTTTCTCTTACATGGGCGAAAACTGGACTCCAGTCACAATTATAAAAAACAAAACAAAAAAACAAACAGTTCTCTTTTTAAGCTGGTATATATTTATTTCGGGATAAGGCTTAATAAATTAATGCACTATGATCTCACTTGCAAAATGTTCAGGTACTGTATGTAGAAGATTCAGTATAAAAATCTGAATGCTTACAATAAAAACAGTAGAAACATCCTCAGTGGTGACTGTAAACATAAACACTCTGTGTGCCAAAACAGGGCTGGAATTGTGCATCACTGCCATTCAAACATCTTTTCTCGTGTTTGTCTTCACAATTACTCTAGAGCGTGGGCCTGGAGGAGATGATCTGACTCATGACCTTATCTGCACTGAAGAATAAAAAAAAAAAAGAAAAAAAAAAAGAAGACTTCAATTTAGCTTGGTATGGAAATAGCCAAAACAGCAAGCAGACTGGTTTAGTGGCTCTCTGTTACGCATGCATCATGCTATTGCCTTTTCATCTGAATAAAACCCATACATAAGAATAAGTGCACACGTTTCTGAGTAAACTCTGGGAAAATTATAATAATTTAATTTTAATTTTTAACAGCTGCATGGTTTCTTCTAAGCCTCCTGATATTTTTAGCTGCTACAGGACTCTCTATGTGTACATGAAGAGGAAGTGCAACCAGGATACAGATACTGCATCTGGTTAAGGAACAACATGATCAAACTACAGCAATATTATAATAATGTTTTAACAGCCTCAAAAAATATGAAACATGACATGAATGACTCATGTTTTCCTACCTCTCTGCAGGAAATGAACGGTCGAGTATCAGAATGGTAAGAGGAAACACACTAGAAACCAAAATAATGGTGTTAAAATAATAACTGTGAAATGTTTTACCTTGTCGGGCTGATATAGAAGAAGCTCAGAGGATCTAACATTTACATAAATGAAGATTACACCGAGTATGTGAGGATGAAAAGAAGGGAATTGATGCCGAAGTTAAAGGAGGCCAGGGCGAGGGGAGACATCGCGTTCCTGAGGTATGATCGACTAGTGACCAGACCTCGGAACCAGGTCCCAGGACCTAGAACCAGCTCGCCCAGGATGCCAGGACAGAGAGATGAAGAGGTCACTGGACCCTCTCATGTCTGAAGAGTCACGCAGATATATTGATATCTGCAACGGCAGATGAGTGTGGAAACTATCAACAACAAGTATGACCAATGTAGTGAATGAGGCAAGTGGATTGTTACAGAAGTTAATAGATTTTGAGGGACTGGAGCTGGAACTGAACACTACTGGAAATTCCTAAAGTCATTATCACGAACCGGACGAAGACTTTGACCCTGAAATAAATTTTTATAAGAACTCTGAAAAAATCTGCAAGTATTACACGGATGAGCGGTTTAACAGCAATGTCAAGACTGAGAACAAGCTATCATTAATTAGTGACTCTCGTATTCTTCAGCTCTTCACACTCATGTTTATGAGGTCATTTATGATGTATATAATGTAAATAATGAGGAACTACACCTGCAACAACTACTGCCACAAACCAGTTTCTATGACTTATTCCAATGCCTGCTGTTAACTAGAACTAAATAAAAAATATTCTGTTTCCATTTTAACCTTCATTTTAAACACCAATAGGCCTACAAAATTGGTTCTCCACAGTCAGTTTTTAAAAGAGAATATTTTTTATTCATGTATTTTTTAAATCTTGTAACAGACAGACAAATAAATCAGGCATATGACTACATCTTATGATCAATTAACACATCTGTTAACAATGTCTGTTTAATTTAAAATAATAGAGCTGATTAGATATGTGAATACAAACTGAGTAATAAGGCCACAGTCATGCTTTCTCTCAAGACAAACACTTAACAGTTTAGTAGATGTCACATATTTTTGCATAATGCATAAACATAAGCAGGAAATCCAGAGGAGACAGTAAAGTAGTTTTATTTCACATGGAAAATCATCTTCTTTGTCTTGATTGGTCTAAAAATACTAATATCTGACTGTAAAAAAGAAGAGAAAATATGAATTGGCTATTTCAATATGGTGAGAATTAATGTATGATTTTATAATAGTTAATTTCATAATCGTTGCTTTACTTACAAGTACTAATGCTGCCATCATCTTGGTACAGGGTATTGTTTCTGCGAGTTAAAAAATCTGTGAGATGAAGATTAAAAAGTTGTCAGTGCAGTGGTGAATCCTGGCTGGACTAAAAGAAGTAATGAGAGAATAACATAGTGCTCACCCTCTGATAGTACACCATCCACAGTCTCGTAACCATCAAACAACTGCACAACACCTGATTAATAACCAGAAAATATGGGGCTATAATTCACCACACTAGGTTAGTATCATAACTGAAAAAGCTTCAAGACAAACCTGCTGGGTCCCTCTGGGTTTGCTGCCTGACTCTGTGTGTGTTACATCTGCAGTAAATGAACAGTCCTGTAAGCACAGCGACTATTAGAGTCCCCAAAACGACCGAGACCACAGTTGTGATAAATGCGCCACTGGGTCCCACTACATTCTCAGTGGTTGTCAGCACTGAGGAAGACAGAAAGCAAATTTAAGAAACACCCCTATTAACAGATTACTGATGCAACTGAACAAATACAGAAAATATTAAAAATAAACACACCTTGCTGAGTTTGTGTTCCGGTAGTGGTGGGTTTGACACTTTCCACTTTACAGAAATAGGAAAAGAACATAACAGTTATATATATATACACACACATATACACACACACACAGTTACAATCAACTTGGACAAGTAGATTGATGTCAAAGCAGTGCTGAGTTTGCTCGAGCATGTACATACATCTGTACCAGCCGCTGTCACTGACATTCACTGAATGGATGGCCAGTAACGTGTCATTCATTTTAAACATTGTAGAGGTGATAGACACAGGGTTGCCTCCTTTCAGCATTGCCCAGGAGATGTTTTGTGCTGCCATTATCTGCACTGGGCAGTTCAGTTCAACTAAGGTGCCAGGTGCTGCCTTCACTCCTTGGATGGTTTTGCAATCTGAAAGGCAGGGGATTAAAAATGATGTGATACATGAGCCAGATTAATTTGTACAATAAGGACAAGAAAATGTGTCATCTTACCTTTGACTTTCAAAGATATATTATGTACCACAGTACAGTCCCATCCTTGATAGATTTCACAGCCATACAGTCCTTCATCACATTTTTGTGGCTTTGTCATAGAGAGACACATCTTTCCATCCTCATCAACTCCCCATTTTACATGATTACCATTCTGGAGTTTTTTAGGCCAGGCAAAGATAACCTTCTCCTCAGTACCATCTGTAGCATATTTTATCAATCTGACTCTGTAGCAGCTATTTGGATCGATTTCAGTAGAATTAAAACAACGGAGAACTGCATCTTCTTCTTGAGAAGCAGATACACTCTCTGGAGAGTTGCCTTCAAAATAATGACAAAAAAAAATTATAAACAGTGTACAAAACACACACTGTGCATTGTGTTTGCTGTTTAGCTAGTGCACACTAAAGCATTTGAACTGTAAGGCTAATAAATCAAGATTGCATCACATACTAAGCAGGTATTTTGTGTATAACTGTACAGTCACAGTTGGTATATACCAAAATGTTACTGACTGTAAAAGTGTAAAATACATTTATGACATTCAGTAATTCAAATTAAATAAGAAATGATCCGGTGACCTACTCACCTCTGCATTCTGATATGACTATTAACAGAGCTAACAGAACCTGTGGATACAAATGTGCCATTTTCTGTGCAATATAGCGAGTACAGAGGCAAATGACTTGTCTTGTCACATTTTTTTGTCTACACCTATTTTCAGTTCTCTAGAAGTCTCAACTTGAAACTACCTTCACAGAGACATGCTTTTTCTACTTGTTTATGTGGCTAATAGTGCCACCAAAAGGAAAAAACAAAGCATTACATGAAGGTGACCACTGCACAGACAGTATGAATACAGGAAGTCCTCATGTTATTTATTGTGCTCACATTTAAATGCAAGTGGGGATTACAATTGAGTAGCCTTTCTCATCCCTCACTTCTACCACTGAGGTGCCCTTGAGCAAGGCATCTAACTCCCATGTGACCCAGTGGAGCTGCTCATTGGCCAGAAGGTCAGACTGGTTGTACTGGGAAGCATACAGGTGTGAATGTGTGTAACTGTGTGAGTGTGACTGGGGCACTACTGAAAAAGTGAACATTATTCTCTGTGAGATTTCTATAGATAGATTTGCAATGTTTGTTTAAACATACTTCATGACCAAAAGACTTCTGCAGAGTAACAGTGTATTTGTCTGTTTCCAAAAGACACAGTTCTGCTTGTTGCATAATTCTTCCTTCCGTATTTAACATGCCTACACATTTTTGAGCTGATAAAGATACACCACTTTTTCCACATAGACTCTGTAAGGGTTTATGAAGTTGAATGAGCCAATCTTGGCTATTATACAGCAGATCTCCTATATGCAAACCTCTCTTATTGAGCAATACAAGTGTGATTTTTCCTGCCCTTATCTGGTGAAATTCAGACTTCAGTGAAAATTATGATTTGCCTCCTTCAGTTGACCTCTATTTGCTGGAGTTTTAAATACCATAGCGGAACCTCACCAATGCTAACTGAAACTTCACACTTCCTCATGTGGCTCGATTTAGAGAAACACTAACACAACTTCTTACACTGAGTGGAGGTTTAACAGCTCCTGTGCACAGAAATGGACCGTGTTCAAGGTTAGATTGCTTCTTTTCTCCTATGTCTGTTTGACATTTTTCTATTTTCATATTGTCTTACAACTAATTTAACCAGTGTTGTTAATGAAATTGATCTGTAATACTCTGTGTACTGGCCGTTGCCTTCGCACAGGGGGTAAAGCATTTGGGCTTCTCAAGTCTCAACAAGAAGAAAAACTAGACTCTATCAATCAGGTGAGTTGATCTGATAATTGACATCTTTAGGCAAAGTCATCAGGTTACAATAGAGTTATCATAACACCAGTGTGATACTAATAATATGGCTGATTTATTTATCATTTCTTTATCACGCCCCTAGGCTTTTCTCTCAGACCCTCAGTATGCAGATGAGGAAGACCTTGCTTTAAAGCTCGAAATGTTTAAAAGTGAGCAATGAAAGGCTAACCATGACTTCTCTGTGACCTGTTTTATTATTTAGTGCAATGCCATGACTTTTGGAATAAGATTATATTTGCTTGTATTGTAGAGAAATACATGGAGTTTGACCTCAATGACAAAGGAGATATAGGTAAAACTGCACTGCTCTTATAGCTCTGAAATATTTTTAGAGCTCTGCACTGAGAAACTGCTGCTGTCAGTAGAAATTCATAACAAAAATCTCTTCATAGATTATTGGATATGAGCACTTATTTACTTTCTTTAAACTATCAACTTTACAGATATGATGGGGTTAAAACAAATGCTGGAAAAACTTGGATTGGCCAAGACACATTTAGAGCTGAAAAAGATCATGTCAGAGGTGGTTGGAGATGCATCGAGTGAAATTATCAGCTACAAAGACTTCCTGAATATGATGCTGGGAAAACGAAATGCAATACTAAAACTGTGAGTCTGAAATACTGAGAAATTCAGAGGCTTTAATCAACTTTTGGTTCAGTCTCAATATTTAGAATCTGATCAACAAAATTCCTGACTACAACTACTGACTTTATGTACCAAAAATAAATTCCTAATAAGTGTGATCATTGTTTATTTAAAAGAAATTGTAATGTCTGAATTTGTCTAAAATCTGGAGTAATGTCTTGTAAAACAGCTGACATGTGTTTTTCTTATTTAAGGATCTTGATGTTTGAAGGCATGGGAAAGGAACAAGAGCAGAAAGATGCTGGACCACCTCGTCGCAAAACCCTTTCAGACCTGCCCTGATGAAGCATGCCATCCCAGCTAGCAATGTGGCATTATGACTTTTTATGGATTTAAACAATGCCTAATCAGTTTAAGGTTCGTTAATCATATTGTAAAATGTGTCATTTGGATGAAGTCATTTTTAGTAATTTGAAGTAAATGTATAAAAAAATGTTTGGGCATTGTCTTGTGATTATGACCACAGTAAGGATTTCCACATTACAGGCAATTAAATTATTTATAAATGTTACAGTAGCATAGAGTACTGAGGCTACTCTGTATGCTGCTGCTTCAGGTACTTAGTCAAATGCAAAGCATCACCTCATGACGAATTAATAGTAATTTTATCTAGATCAAAGGTAAAAAACAAAACAAAACCATTAATATATAACATATTTAAATAAACACCTACACAATCAATCAATCAATCACAAATTCTAAATTAATGTAGTTTTGTTGTAAATTCACTAAAAGTTAGTGTTTATGAAATTTCTTTCTAAAATGGGAACATTAATGCACACTTCCTCTTTATTTTGAAAAATCTGGATGACCGGAAGAACTAATTGTCACCCAGGAAGCGAAGACAAATTAGCCAAGCTTACAAGTTAATGTGTTAATATACAGAAAGGTGAGTAAAATGGACTTTCTATAATCCATCGTATATATTAAGGAGACAGTTCCTCTAAATACATATTAATTAGTTTCGGCACTATTTGTGCTAACTAGCTATACGTGTTAACGCTAATGAACGCTAGCAATCTAGCCAGCATGCAACGTTAGCTAACCGAAGAGCTAATGTAAGATAAGGATAATCACCTTTGTTGGCCAAGTATGTTACACACAAGGAATTTGTTTCCGGTACAGAACCGATAGTAGGTAGTACATTAGAGACGTGAATTGAAGATTATAGGGGCTACAATAAAATCACACATTTACCTTAAGTACCTCAAATAGCGGCTTCAGTTTGTTGCATTTATGGTGGAATAAAATGCGTTGTAGAGTTTAACGTTACCTCCCCAGAATTAGCTAGGTTTTAGTTGTTAGACAAACAGTGTGGGTTTAAAATAAAACCTGGTCCACTGCAGCTCTGTTATGATTTGTCAGGAAAATGAGCAGCTCCGAGGAGGTGTCCTGGATATCCTGGTTTTGTGGACTGAGAGGGAATGAGTTCTTCTGTGAGGTCAGTACCCCGGGTTATTTTTACTTTTAAGTCGGTATGAACTATTGGAACCTTGACATACATGTACCGCTAATTTACATTTCCAGACAGCTCTTCGGGCTGCGGAACGCTCACTGACACCTCCAGCACAAACCTATTCACTCCGTACATTAAGACTTGCAGCTGAGAGCTGTCTGTTCCACATGAGGCCTTTTCACTCAAAAAGCTCCTTAGGGAGAAATAAACAAAACTATTTGCAGTTGCGTGGTCATTTTGGTATCTGTGTGTAACACTGGTTTGTCTGATAGGTGTTATCACTCATACAATCCAGTTCTAATTTGAACTCCCTTTTTCTTTGTTGGTAGCATCCAACCTTAATCTTATCCAATTGTAATCTTATTAAGATCTTAGGTAATACTTCCACTACAGAGTGCTGTAGCAATGTGCTGCTGCAAAAGCAATTAATAGCCATTTGTTGTGGTCTGCTGCTGTGTTACAGGTTGATGAGGACTACATCCAGGACAAGTTTAACCTGACAGGTTTGAATGAGCAGGTGCCTCACTACCGCCAGGCTCTGGACATGATTCTTGACCTGGAGCCAGGTGAGAATATCAAGGTAGCAAATATGAAGTTAAACAAAGCAGAATCAAGGCTTAAACCGAACCTAATTCACTTTAATTTTACAGATGAAGAACTCGAAGATAACCCCAACCAGAGTGACCTGATAGAGCAGGCAGCAGAGATGCTCTATGGGCTTATACATGCACGTTACATCCTCACAAACAGAGGCATTGCGCAGATGGTAGGATGCTACTTACATTGTACATTGGTAGTGTGGAAAAAATAAGCGGTGATTTCTAAATTTATTGTTCTTCATAGTTGGAAAAATATCAACAAGGGGACTTTGGTTATTGCCCTCGAGTCTATTGTGAGAATCAGCCAATGCTTCCTATTGGTAAGTCTCACTTTTGTGTACCTTCACATTAAACATATTCTCCCTTATGCAAGAATCATGCTGCACCTTTAATCCTTTGTCATTGGCTGTAAGACATACTTAAATATCATCTGTGTTGTCTGATGTAGGTTTGTCAGATATCCCAGGAGAAGCTATGGTGAAGCTTTACTGCCCAAAATGCATGGACGTATACACCCCTAAATCCTCTAGACACCACCACACAGATGGAGCCTATTTTGGAACAGGGTTCCCCCACATGCTGTTCATGGTGCACCCAGAGTATCGTCCAAAGCGACCAGCCAACCAGTTTGTGCCGAGGTTTGTTTGACACCTTCTGACTTGGTATTTATTCTTAGCAATAATGTTGACTAGGATTAATTAACACATGAAATACTTCATCAGGGTAAAGCAGTGACAGGGGACCAAAAGGTGACCTCAGTAGGGTTTGGCATCATGTGTTCCTTGGTGCATTTTTATTAATTTTGTTGGCACTGAGCAAAAGTTGTCCCGTGGCACCAAATTTCAAAAGCAACTAAGTACAGAAAGGCAGTCTACATGAGTGAATTTTCCCCCCTTTCTTTTTTAGGCTCTATGGTTTCAAAATTCACCCCATGGCCTATCAACTCCAACTTCAGGCTGCATCAAGTTTCAAGAGCCCAGTCAAGTCAATTCGCTAGAACTCAACTTTGATGAAGACCCTGGACTCAAAGACTTTGTTGTTTACTACTTGTTTGAATCATTGGATTATGAATTCCCAATAAATGCCTGTACAGTTCTCACCAACACTTTGATTCAGCCATCATCTCTCATTTAGCAAAACACTTGCAGCTCAGCAAGTTAGTTTAGTCTGTGCTTAACATGCTATTCCCAAAGTGTCAGTCTCCTAATACAGTGTTTATTCTCAATATCAAACCATCATTTCACATTGTTTGTTTTTTTTACACAGAAAAGTGGCTTTAACACAGTAATGGTGAAGGCTCCAGCGTACTTTATGGCTTAATTGCAGGTGATTGAATGTAACCTGAAGTCTTGTCACCAGCCCCTGATAGGTTTGCCCTAGGGATGCAGTCCTTAATCAAAGTTAACATTATATTTCATCAGATCATATTAAGTTGTGCTGTAGAATGGATGCTGAATATTTTTTCTTAAGATGTGGGATTTTAATTTGAAAACAGCAATATCTGTAAATGCGTTCAGCTATTTTTAGGAAACGATACCAAGTTAGAGGCAGAAAGTTAAGACCTTACCTTAAAATGGACCTATTCTTCATTTCGTTTTCATTATTACACTTGATTTTCTTTGGCTATGTTTCTGCAGACAACTAACGTACTGCTGATATTTCTGTATTTGAACTTTAATCATGTTTACATTATGGTTTTGTGCTCTAGCCAGAAGTGACATTCTTTCCTCTCAAGAGTTTTGTGTAGATTGAACATCTGTTATGGAACAAGTGAATGCCATTAAATATTTATTTCTTACAAAGATCTCTTTTATACTTGAAGTTGTATGTTTCACATACAGGCAGACCACCAAAATGCAAAATAATGCACATTTTATTTTTTCATAAAAAGACAAGTCACAAAGCAATGTTTTCCACCGTCTAAAAACTATTTTGTTCTTCATGGAGAGGTTGCTGTCGTCGTCCATGTAGCTACAATACCAATGGCTTTTTTTTAGGTTAAAAGGAAGGTTTGCTAACAAACACTATCTAAAAGGGATTCATATATTCATATATTTGAAGTGGCTTTTCCTCTATGAAATATAGCTGGTAAGAGCAATCTACTTAGACTATATGGCTAAAGGCTTTACAGACGTGGTTTCTAATGAATGCAATAGTCAACATTGTTACATCTCTAATGGAAGCCTGGACATCAACTTGTACTGAAACACCATAGTACATCAAATCACATCAAAGGGTTCCTACTTTACAAATAAATTACTGTATAGTAGAACATGTAAAAAAAGACAACTTGTGTTCCTATGAGAGAAAAGCCACATGTAGTGGGGCAGCTGCCTTCACCACTTAAACATGTGGTTACTGAGACAACCTTTTTAAATTCACACACCTCACCTGGCTGAACATAAAGGTACATTTAAATTAGGGGTGGATATACATATATGGACTTTCCTCATACAATCATGTGGAGGTCTGTAGTCTTACAACGAATACCAAAACCTGAGATAAACAGACCAAACAAAGCTTGTAAAACTTACATATTGAAAGCAATTATGACTTCTTTGCTACTGAACAAAACATAGGGCAGAAGGAAGCACTCCGTTGTTATATGTAACTTGTGAATGGTCTGATAAACTTGGTGGACTACAAGAGGAAACAAGTAAGAATGATTCAAGGTGTCATGCAAGACAATAAGCAGCTCCCACACAGACTTAAAAACTGCGTAAAGAGCTAAATTTGATCAGCAGATGGGTATGAATAACTTAAAAACTTCCAATTTGTACAAATACTATAAAAGCATTAATTCTATAAAATAGAGTAGTATTTCAAAATAGATAAATTTTTAATTCAAACTTTACAATAACGTGTAGGCTACTGGTTCTTGGCTGGTTGGAAAAGAAATGTTTTAGGTTTTTGTTTTTGTACCTGAGCAGTGAACAAAGCCAAACAAAACTGTCCGAATCTGAGCACAGATCTTTGTTCACATATTGATGTGAGGTATGCAATTTCATTTCACATAATACCTCTCCTGAATTAACCAGAGAAGTAAACAACAAAGAGTTCCCTTGAATGTAATCTTAACCTTCCCCAAGCAGCACCAAGGGAATAAAGGCTGATAACACTGTCTAAACTAGAATGGAAAAGGTGCATTTTTAATAAAATTAACATTTGTAAAAACCACTAGGAAAATAAAAGTCTTTAAAAGCAAACATAACAGATCACTCAACTGAAAATATAGCATTTAAACCAATAAATGTGTATTCATTAAACCTTTAGAAAACCAGGATGATATACTGTAAGCATTTATAGAAAACTCACACACTGTGCAGCCCTCCTCTAATCTAGACAGCTCAACTACAGAAAAAAAAGATCAACTCTGTTATCAATAACTTTAGGTGCAGATGTATGACATATGTGTATATATATATATATATATATATATGTGTGTGTGTGTGTGTGTGTGTGTATACACAGGGCTGGTGTGTGTTGAGCGCTGCACTCGTACGAAGGGATGTCAGAAGTGAAGAGGTACAGGAATGAATGAAGGTTGTGTTTCAGTTACAATGCTGATGCTCCGCCATGTTTCTCCTGGAAGACAGACATTATGGGCACTTGTATCAGTCTTAACTGGTAACATCAAAACAGTCATCACCACCTTCATCATCACCAGCATTTAACAGGACAGTCAGGCACTGAGAAATACAGGGCGCTTTGACTTGCAATTAGATGAGAAGACTGAGACCGCTTTTGCTTATGACCTTTAACTATGAAGCTACAGCTAGAAGCAGATTAGCTTAGCATAGCCCCCAAGAGTAACTGGGTACATCTCATGTGTCTTTTAACATTGCTCCTATGTCCTCTTTTGGATCGGAAGTCGTTTCGGTCGACAGAGGACACAAGATGTTCCAGGTCTCTTATATCAGCTCTGAGGCGGGTGCTGGAGGAGCCATGACTGAGGATACATGAGACCATCCATCGCTGAAGTTTTTTTGTGAACTGACACGACCCTTTATCAGAATTCAGTTGGTGACAGGACACAAGGATCTCAGGAAAGGACTTCTCATCTCATACATGTTGTTTACAGTCTTCATGCTAAACTAAGCTAACTGTGTCTTGGCTATAGCATCACATTTAACAGATATGTGCATTTAATTCTTTAAAAGAATGAATAAATGGATTTCCTATGTTCTGCCCAGTACTGTTTTGTGTCAGGTGCAGAGGGTTTGTACCTTAGCTTGGTCAATGTCAGAATCTGCAGTTATGACAATTCTCTTTTCCACACGGGTTTGTGAAGATCCACTTTTTACTACCTGGTAGAGGGAAGAAAAAAGGTAACTGACAAGTAAAAAGGTAACAGAGCCAAATACCAAACACACAAACACACACTGCTGACCTTTGAAATGTGAGTGGTAGTGGTGGTAAATGTGGTGCCACTGGCAGTCTCTGAGGTAAAGGTGCTGGAGCTGGACGATGTTGTGCCATCTTTGATCTCGTCAGTCCCATCAACTGCCACCTGAAAAAAGGATCCAAATTGATACATTTAAGAATAATGTCAGATTATGTGACCCTGAACCTCAGCAATGGAAGGTGCTGTGCTGCCTCATGTTGATTTTGGAGCCTGATCCTCCAGACCTGCTGTACTGTCAGTTCGTGTTGCCACCTCCTCCATGCAATATAGCCGTGATAGATCTGGGATGAGCAGGTGCTGGAGCCCCTACCTTTGAAGATTCATAGGTGAAGGTCTTGGTCGGGACGATGGGGACCTCTGTGGTGGAGATGCCACTAGATAAGAAGTTGGAGACAGCTGTGATGGTGACTGTCTGGGTCTGCACCAGAGGGGGCTGTGGATGGGAGCATAGCCCCATGAGTGGCTAACCACACACTTTGCGCCTCACAGGTTACTACTGTATTTCACACCATGCATTCCCTTCTAAGTCTGAACTGATGTGCACTGCAACAGACTTTTCTTGTCACCAAATCAGTTTCTATTATGATTTTGGAAACAGAATCATGTG